CACCAACATATTTATTGAATCAAATTCAAAAGAGAAGTACAAAAAGTTGTTAACAGACCATTGGCCAGTAATCTTCTATCAAAGTGAATCAGGAGAAAAATGGGTTTATTAAACCTGTCTGGTTTGGTCAGACAGGAAGATTTCTTGATCGGATGTCTGACACACTCACCACTATCATCACTACCAGTAACAGGGCTACAGGGAGCCTACTGCCAAATTCTAGTTGTGCCACTCAGGAGGACAGTGATCATGGATAAGTTACTTACCCTGTGGTAACTTATATAGAATGGAAAATACAATGTCCCTTAAGGTAGGGTTAGAAATTATGTAATACTGAGTATGGACCCTGACACCCAGTACAGTCGTAAAAGGAGGTAATTTAGCTTCACAATGGTGATCATTTACAGCCAGTGCAGATCACCTAGGAAAAACACTGTCCCTTCTTCCTCTCCTAAGAGATAAGCCCCACCTGGATTTATTTTGCGTTAGGTCCCTCACTCTCTCCCCGGCTCAGATGCAAAAATCACCATACCTTAACCATTATTTTTCCCTTCCAAAGCCTGGTTTTCTTCCTTTCTAATTATCCCCAGCATCACAAAGAACAGAATTGGAAAGAGACAGGCTTATAACTTAAGACAGGCTGTGGTCAAATAAGGAAGAACTTCTTGACTGCCACGCTGGTTCAACAGCAGAACAGGCTCAAAAGGAATTCTTGGTAAAACGTCAAATAAGGAGAATTCAGTCCTGGAAGGGACTGCATGACTTCATGCTGGGACAATGAACCCTCAAGTGAACTACACCTTGAACAAAACGCTCCCTCCATCAGAGGCAGTCAGTCACTGGTGCTCTGAACACCAAAGAGTGGGCAACGGCAATGCTGTGAGAAGCCTGGGCGTCGCCATCAGAAGCAACAGGAGGAAAGGAATGCTCTTTCCAAAACCTTCCTCTGACCCTTGAAATACAGCACAGGCAGCACTAAGCGATCTCAATGGAAACAAATGGGATCACATTTTAATTTAACAGCACAGCGCTGTTCAAAGTTTATAACAAAATACAGAATGTGCTGCTTGTGGTTTTTATTACAGAAAACCAGCATAGCTTGAGGTGAAAGGGCTGGGCTCCAAAACCAGAGTCCCTGAGTTAGAATCGCAGCTTTTGTACTTGCTAGCTGTGTGACCTTGGGCACGTTACCTAACCTCTCTGTCCCTCACTTTTCACCTCTGTAAAATGAGGATTACAAATAGATAACGATATCTAAGGAGCTCTGGTGGCGTAGTGCCTAAGGCACTTGACTGCTAACCAGAAGGCTGGGGGTTCAAACCCACCAGCCACTCCTCGGAAGGAAGATGGGGCAATCTACTTCCGTACTGATACTGCCTCGGAAACCCAAGGAGGGGTCACTATGAGTTGGGTCTGACTTGATGACACGTAACAACAACGATACCTAAGCTCCATAGGGTTCTTAATTACAAACAGTAAGTTCTAAGGTGGTTAGAGTAGTGCACAGGATTAATACTAAAGTGTTTGACAAAAAATATTAAGATCATCACTCAATGGAAGTTATATACAACTTCGTGCTGAAAAACTGCTCCTTGTACTGCCATCATAAATCTCAAAGGTGCCTTCGTTTTTAAGTCGGCTCCTAGGATTGCAGCTTGTTCATCACAAATCCTTCTCTGAACAAATCTGAAACCCAAGGTCATTTTGAGGTGATGAAAATGGAAATTTAACACAGTTAATCAAACTGTAATCAACCCCAGAATAAATTAAAGTAAAACAAACATATTATTTATTGAGCACCCACTGTGGCCAGTCACTTCACAAGCAGTTGTATTTTGATTGGAAGGCATGGAATGGGGTAGGAGTGTAGCCAGGTTTTGCTGGCTGGCAGACAGCTGAATAAAGTGACACTGACCTTAGTGAGTTCACTGAGGCTTTGGTCCTCAGCTCTGAAGAGTCAGAAACTTGGTTGTGTCAGCACATTCATTCATTCAGCAATAACTGATTGAGCACCTACTGTGTGTGAAATGTTTTGACAGGCAATGGGGCAAAAATGGACAAGTAATTATAGTCCCTGCCTGTTCTCCCAAAGCTGACAATCTGGTAGAGAAGAAAGATATTTAAAAATCAAAGTTAAAATCGAGGTTGTCAATAAACTCATCTATAATGAAAAGAGTAAGACTCGAGTAGAGCAGAATTCCTGTTCTCACAAGATCAACCAATTCCTACGTAGACAGAGATTGTTGTTGTTGTTATGTGCCGTTGAGTCAGCACAGGGATAGACACTTGTAATCCAAACAATGGAGAACATCAAGCCTCAGGAGTCACCTCAAGATGTGTGTTAATGCTACTACAGCACCTAATAGGCTTGAGGACTAGGGCATCCTGCTTCAACCAAGCTGGCCACATCCTACAAACAGCTGACTCTTCTCTCTGCTTCCAAACATGCCCATATTCCCATGCTCACTGCCTCTTTCAAAAAGGCTAAATCAAAGCAAGCAGCCATCGAGTTGATTCCAATTCACGGCAACTCACGTGGACCAGTGCAGGACTGAGCTTCACGGGGTCTTCAATGACTGACTTTTCAGAAGCTTTCTTCCTAAGCACTTCTAAATGGGGCTTGAACCACCAACCTTTCAGTTAACAGCCAAGCATGTTAACCATCTGCATCCTCCAGGGACTCCATTTATTTAATTTCTGCTTCATATCATGTTCCTGTCTTACCTCACCAAATATTTTCATGGAGTACATTTTCCACGTTCTAAAACTTCTTTCATCACACATCTATAGAAATCAAGTTATTTATTCCAGAAGTAGTTAAACACATTCAATCTTTGTTTGCGTCTTAAAACTCAAAGGACAAAATTATTGCTGTGTTATTTGAGTTTGGGGTTGGTGTGAGTGGGAAGGGAGTTAGGGCAACTGTACACTCAAACTGTTACTCCATAAACTCTCAAAATAATTATCTCATTTAATTTTGAAAACAACCCAGTGAGGCACAAAATTTAATTTTACATGAATCATTAAGTATACGCACAGCAGAATATGCTAGCATTATACAAAGGTCAAAATTAAAACAAGAACTTGTCAGGTTCACAGTCCAAGTTCAGTAGTCACATACTGCTGGTGGTTCCTTGAACTATAAGGAGTGCTTGATGCAATAACAGAAAAAGCACATTCATATGAAAAGTGTCAACCAACATTCAGATCATTTCTAAAAAACAGCTGAGTCAGCACAGAAGGAAAAATATCTGTTACTTAATTTCATCAAAAACAGCATCCATGGTACATTATGTTCCTTCCATATCATGGACGATACTTTTAATTCAATAGGTCCTTGTGGTTTTGCTGATAATTAAACATGCAAGAAAACCAGTTTTGTACACCTCTACTGAACTTCTTTAGATGAACTAAGATAATCTCACATCTGGATGTGGTGGGGTGCACAGTGGGGATATTATCTAGCTATGCCAGTTAGTTACAAGAAGGACTGTAATAGAGTCAGTGACTCAAGTCCTAGTCCTCATTCACACAGATCCACAAGAGGATCAGTATAATCAGAAATGGTCTCTATGATGCATTCACTCTAATAGGTAAGACTGATGCATGAGCCAGCATCCTAATTTATTTAGTGATAATTAAGGAACTCTCTCTTTCCAGTGTCTAAAATAAATATAACTCCCAGAGAGATTCAGAGGAGCCACAAAATCCCAGGTTACATTCACTCAACACTGCTTCACCAACTGGAGCAAAGAGAAGTATAGGAGCTTTCTGCTGTATTTCCATGGGGAAAGATGAAATAATAAAAGATTTAAAAATATGATCAAACATTAACTTGAATATAGTCTATGGAGAATACATAAGTCAACAGGGTAATTATTTAAACAATCATACTGGGTGAACATGCCTCACTTTAAGTGCCAAGACAACGGTTCTGAGCCTGTCCCATTAATGGTTGTTATCTCCAGCAACCAGGACTTGGAACTTATTAAGCGTTCATCAACTTTTGCTAAACAAATAAACTAACTAACAAATATAAATATAAATATGTTCTTCCTGAGCACTATCTTGAAGTTCTCATCCAAGTAAAATACTTAAAGGCAAAAAATTATTTAAGTCTACATAAAGAATAAAATCTTGCTGTTCATGTTAAAATATGAATTAATTTCTTCTACCACAACCAGAGAAGTGATAAGAAAAAAAAATTGTTTTCATTAAGATGGCTGACACAGAATGTCATTAATTCCAGTACCCAATTATATTCACTAAATCTATGCAATACCTTGATATACTTATCAACAATGCAGTAATAATTATAGAACATGAAAAATAACTTATTTAAAAATAAACTAATAAAAATAACTATATATTAAAGCTTATTCATATTATATAAAAGTGTTTCCTATCTGTAAATCTATAATACAGACACTACAAGGCAAAAGTTCAACAATTGAGACTATAAGGAAACCTTTTAAAAAGCTAAAGGAACATGACTGATTAGCATGGAATTTTCAATACCAGACAACCAAACTCTTCAGTGACATCTTTCATATCATCATCATTTTATACTGCACCACTAAGACCCATGTTGTTGTTGTTGTTGTTGTTGTTATGTGCCGTCGAGTCAAACCCGACTCATAGCGACCCCTCCTTGGGTTTCTGAGGCAGTATCACTATGGAAGTAGGATTGCCCAACCTTCCTTCCGAGGAGTGGCTGGTGGGTTTGAACCACCAGCCGTCTGGTTAGCAGGCAGGTGTCTTAGCCACTATGCCACCAGAGCTCCCACTAAGACCCATAGTTCCCTACAATTCTGTAATTGAAGACTGATATGGTGCTATCTTCACAGACACTTGCTATAAACATGTTTCATCCCCTTTTATTTCCAGCATATATACGTGCCAAATATTCAGACTGTTGTTTTCAACTATCATAAACTAATACAGTTTATATTAAGATACTGAAAATGTGTAAAGTAAGTTACAATCAAGACAATACTTACCAAGCACAATGACCACAGTCTTCAGAAGACTCATCATGGTGTCCCGATTCCTCCGGGGTCCAGAACTATGCCTAGACATTCTCATAGTCCTCTGGCGAACATAGCCAAAGATATGAGCATACAGAACCACCATTACCACAAAGGTCACTAAGTTGAAAATGGCCCAGAAGACTAAGTAAGAGTCACTGTAGAGAGGCGCCATGTTGGAACAATGGTCAATATCACAGATACAGTTCCAGCCCACACTGGGTATAGCACCCATAACAATGGCCATAGTCCAAATGACCACAATGACCACCACCACCCGCCGGTTGCTCATCCGTGTGTGGAGCTGCATGCGGAAAACTGTAATGTGCCTCTCGATGGCTATAGCCAGTAAGTTGGCCACAGACGCCGTCAGGCTGGTGTCAATGAGGCCCTGACGAAGGAGCCACGTGCTGACGGTCAGTCTCCGAGTGTTGGGTCCTGTGTTGAACATTAGGTAGAAGTAGGCCAACCCAGCAAAGAAGTCTGCAGCAGCCAGATTAGCCATTAAGTAATAAATAGGAAAATGGAAGCGGCGGTTGACATAGATTGCCACCATGACCAGGAGGTTGGCCAACATGATGAAGATACAGACAGTGATTCCAAGTCCCATCACCAGCTTGCTGACTGTGTTCCACTCTGTGGCAAGATATTTTCCACTCCGGTTATAAAAGAAGGCAATAGACTCATTGTAGAAGCACTGTGGTTCATTCATGGCTGTGAACTAAAAGAGAAAGGAGGGAAAAGGGTGAAAATAAAGAAAAACACACCAAAAACATGAAAAGAAACCAGAGATCTGAATTTAGATGTATAGCTATAGTGAATACAGCAGAAAAATAAAGACAACGAGTTTGAATACTTGATTGTGCATACCATTCTATGATTACATCGGAACTCCAAAGTTTCTCATAGGACCACTGTCCTCAAGATTAAAGGCAGTGGGAGTGAAATAAATGACAAGGTCTTTGCTTGGTGGTTACACTTCATTGAAGTCTACTAGAAAAGCCACATGTCCAGAAATCATACTTAAAATACATGAGACAGGCAAAAATTTTACAGAACATTGCAATTGGACTACTTATTATCATGAAATCTATTTTGACCTGTTATTTAGGGGACTGTAAACATGGCTGGTTTATACATAGGGTGTTATTGCCCTATTAGTCTGCATTTCTATTCTCACATAGTATGTTCATTCTGTGACACGTATTTTGTAACACAGGTCCCCAAAGGATCATCAGTCCCAAGATTTCAAAGAAGTTATCATGCACCAAGAGCTCTTTTTCCAAAGCTAGCATTTGCTGCTCAACATTCCTGTGGGCAGTATTGTCTACCCCCCACAATTCCTTGATCCCAAAATAGCATTAATCAAGCAGTCTATGACATTTGAAGATTTTTTTTTCCTTTTTGGTGGGTTTAAGAAATGTGTTACCCAATGTAACCTTCAAAGAATCGTTGACATTTGACACCACTCCACAAGAAGTAAAATATACTTCAAGCAGGTGAAGTACATCTTCTAACATACAAAGTGATAAATAATGCTTTATAATCTGTTTGCTTATTTTTCAACATCAATTAGTATATATTTATTAATTATTTGTACTCTAACTGGAATTGAAAATGGATTGAGGCATTTATAACAGCATAATATAGGTTGTCAATAAAACTATCAAAGCAAAATTAGAAAACAAAAAGTAATACTAGTAAACTAGCAAATTACACATCAAATAGTATAAATCATTCTTCCAGAAACCTTAAGTTTCTCTGAAAGTTTTAGAATTAGAAAATATTCCTTAGAGTTCACATTCTTTTTTCTTTTTATCCTGCATGCCTTCAAATAAATTACTTAGTAACTATGACCATTTTAACCATAATGTGTTGTCAAATATTTGATTTGCTCAATAGTCATAAGATATGTACAAATGTTTATCAAACACTGAAAATTACAGAACAGTAAGAAATGCTTGTTGTTGTTATTATGTGCCATTGAGTCGGACTCATAGCGACCCCTCCTTGGGTTTCCCAGGCGGTATCACTACGGAAGTAGATTGGCCAACCTTCCTTCCGAGGAGTGGCTGGTGGGTTTGAACCGCCAGCCTTCTGGTTAGTGGTCAAGTGCCTTAGGCACTACGCTACCAGAGCTCCTTACGCTTATTAAGTGGTTAATCTTCTGACTCATTCAGACAGCTGGATTCTCCTCCCTCATGTAGATATACTTTCATATCTTTCAGATGATCATTATACTTACCATGTTGTATAATTATTTATCTTTTCACTTGTCTGTTTCTTAAAAAGATCATAGTCTAGGGGAAGAATGAAGACCTTGTCTTATGGTCTTGGCATCTTATGCATCTCACTCATACCTCATTCACTGGTGATCTGAGACTTGACTTGCAGTCTTCCATTCCACCCCAAGTACTGCCATTAGACTGGCTAATTCATCTAACATTTTTTGCCTCTCAGTTTCTTGGCCTCAACTCTAATGACCTTTTATTCCATTACAACTCAGCTGCACACTCCAATGAACTTATCTTAGACTTCGTAATCCCCCAGACCTACCTGCCTTCAGAAATTGTTCATTTAAGCATGATAATTACAAACCAGTGTGTCCAGATTCTGACTCATAGCGACCCCCTTTGGGTTTCTGAGGTGGTAAGTCTTTACAAAGTAGATTGCCCAGTCTACCTTCTGCGGAGTGGCTGGTGGGCTTGAACTGCCATTCTTCTGGTTAACAGTTAAATGCCTTAGGCACTGCAGCGCCAGAGCTCCTTAATTACAAACCAGTGTGTCTAGGTTGTCTATTTCCTTGACCCTCCTCCGTTTTCCCAGTGGATTACCTTCCCCATCTTCCCTTCTTCCTTATCAACCTTACAATCTCTAGTATATATAATTTCAACTCTTTATTGCCAACACAAGAATACAATCTCCTCTTGAAAAAACTGGGGTCAATGTCCCACACAACTCAGAATTTTTCTGAATTTTATGAAATAAGAAAGCACATATTCCATATGTGGTATAATATCCCAAGGGGAGTTTGAGGCAGCACTCCAGAATGAAATCCATTAGTCATTGAAACAAAACATATAACCTTTATAAATAAACATATAGCCTTTATAAATGAAGGCTATAACAGCCTCACACCAATTCATTCAAGGCAGAGTGGGCCACCAAATGACTTAAGAAAAATCTTCAATTTTTAGGGCTTCTGTAATTTTTGAATTTCAAATAAAGGAGCAGAACTCTTTATCTTTGAATTATCTTTCTTGATTATACTTCTATAACAATCTTTCAGAGTAACACCCGGCTTGGATGAATCCAATTGGCTGCCATTTACATACACCAAGTATTGGATGAATCCAATTGGCTGCCATTTACATACACCAAGTATTGGATGAATCCAATTGGCTGCCATTTACATACACCAAGTCTTCTGAGAAATGTTAGAGACAGTCAGCACATCTGCAGATTGGTTTCACTATAAAGTCATGGTATCTAACCTCAGCTGGGACTTCAATGCTGTATGACAATTTGATATTTTCCCCTAATTATTACTTGACGTATTCTCCATACTGACTATTTAAGCTTATCTACTCTTCTCAAACTTTTCAGCCCCATCTTCCTCTCTCCATTAGCAGCTGCCAAGAGGAAAACAGAAATCATCAGAAGTAACTTCCCAACTTTTCTCTCAACAAAAAGACAGAATTACCTGTTCAAGAACCCATCCTTTCTTCCCCTTCTGTTATAATAGAAGAGGTGTGCCCTTTACCATGCAAGGGCTTTGAATGACAATTGTTCTATTTCAAGAACCTTGTTCTATAAACTACTTCATTTCTACTCTTGTATCTTCAATTTCTCTCCCTACTACCTCACCCTTCTCCCTTCCCTCGCTTCCTCCTCCTTAAAAATCACTCACTCACTGCCGTGATCTGACTCATAGTGACCCCTCCTTGGGTTTCTGAGGGGGTATCACTATGGAAGTACATTGCCTCATCTTCCTTCTGAGGAGTGGATGGTGGGTTTGAACCACCAGCCTTCTGGTTAGCAGTCAGGTGCCTTAGGCACTATGCCACTAGAGCTCCTTCCTTAAAAATAGGAAGGGTATAATATACCTAAGAAAAAGGGCAGTTTTAGCTAGATTTAGTACAATAAAGCTGAATTAAAAGAAAAAGTAAAATTTTTCTTCTATCATCTGCAAAAAAGTAGTAAGTCTGAAGAGTAAAGAGAGAATTTGGCAGAAATAACAGAACAGTGTGAACAGGCTTTCTTACCTTTGCAGGATGCAAAGATCTTAGGCAGAAACCCATACCATGCTCTGGAAGAATCCAATTCAACTACTCTTAGACTATCCATCAGTAAGACAGTCATAGTCATAACAATTACCAAACAGAGAACTACCAGGCACAGCAGGGAGGAAAGGAGCCTCAATGGACATGACCATCCCACTGAACAAGAGAAAACGCCATCCCTGAAGCACATTTATGAACAAATAAAGAAAGAGGGCAAAAAGATTAAATTGCAGAAATTTTCTGATTGTGTTTTCAATGTGCTTTGTTAAGTAAGGTACTATCACTGAAAATAGAGCAAGCCATTATGAAGACAAAAAAATTTGGAGGGCAAAAACTACATGGACATTGTATTAGTTTTCTATTGCTGCTCTAACAAATTACCACAAATTTAGTGACTCAACAACAACACAAATTTATTATCTTATAATCCTGGAAGTCCCAAGTCCAACATGAGTCTCACTGGCTAAAATCAAGATATTGCCAGTGCTGTGTTCCTTTCCTAAGGCTCTGAGGGAATAAATTTTCTTGTCTTTTCCAGCTTCTATAAGCTGCCCACATTCCATGGCTCATAGACCCCTTGCATCTTCAAAGCCAGCAATAACCAAAAGATCTTCTCATATCAGATTACTCTTAACACTGACACTTCCACCTCCATTTCTCACATTTATGGACCCTTGTGATTATACTGGGCCCATCTGGGTAATCCAGCATAGTCTCCCCATCTCAAGATCCTTAATCACATCTGCAAAGTCCTTTTTGCCATATGTTGTTGTTGTTGTTATGTGCCGTCGAGTCAGCCCCGACTCATAGTGACCCCTCCTTGGGTTTCCAAGGCAGTATCACTACAGAAGTAGATTGTCCAACCTTCCTTCTGAGGAGTGGCTGGTGGGTTTGAACCACCAGCCTTCTGGTTAGCAGTCAAGTGCCTTAGGCACCATATATAAGGTACCATATTTACAGGTTCTAGAGATTAAGTGGGAAGGAAGATTGGGCAATCTATTCCCATAGAGATACCACCTCAGAAACCCAAGGAGGGGTCGATATGAGTCAGAAATGACTCAAGAGATTAAGTACTAGACAACTTTGGGAGGTCATTACTCTGCTGACCAAAACGATAAAAAACACTTTGTGAATTAAAAACAGCAACAGAGGCAGTTAAATGAAATACACCCACTCCTCACTTTTCAACACTGTTAAGTTCCAAACACCAAGTTGTTATGCAGAAATTATGAGAAATATTCACCATTTCCTGCCCCAGCCTCCCCTCCTCTCTGGCCCAGCCCTCCCAGCTAGGTGGAAGTCACCACTCTGTAACCGCAGCAGTCATGGGCTGACCCTCTCTCTGCTTGCGCGAATCTGAATCTGTGCTGTAGGCTGCCGGCCAGGCATCCTCAGCCACCCAGCATCCAGCTCAGGCTCCATGGTGCACTTGGTGTGG